AAAAATTATTTGGTGATCAGTGAAAACCTTATTTTTTTATTATTTAATTATTATTGCTATTTCGTTATCATTATCATCATTATTATTATTACATTATTATTATTACTATAACAATTATTTTTGTTTTGTGTGGATCAGAATGAATAGGGGATCAACGAATTGATTTTATTATTAGCGAATAATTTTGGTTAAAGAAGATAAAAGTTTTAAATAAAATATTTCTATTTTTTTTATTTAGTCGAAACTAATTAACTTGTAAGAAAGTTGCTTTTACATTAGGTCGAACTCAAGTTCTTTATATACATGTTCTTTACATATCAGCCCGAATTGCGCGAATCCGCTCACTTTGTACCTGGGCGAATCCGCCCGTTTTGAAGAATCGTCACTAATCTCTACTAAATAAAGTTAAATAAATATGAATGTGCCACGGATTGATTAATAATAATAATAATAATTAAATACGCGAAACGTAACGCGAATTCAGATGATAATAAATAATTATACACGTTATGATAAATAAATAGAATTAATAAAAAATATAAATAAATAAAATTTAAATTGTCCCGGAATTAAAAGATCCGACCAAAAGATCTGTGTCAAAATCTTCCGGTAACACTATTTCATTATTGTTATTATTATCTCATTCATTAATATATTATTCTCAATTAAAAAAAAAACCACAGCATAAGCATAAATTAATTAAATTAATTAATAATGTCAAAAGAAGAATTGAGATTGACAATTACAATAATTACAATGACAATGATAAATTAATTATTTTAGACAGAGAAAGCACCTTTTTAGAATCTGAAGAGAGTGTTTACATGAACCTGAAGGAAATATTAACAATTATAACAATTATGATGATTGTGGTAATGACAATTATGGTGGTTATAATTATGATAATGATGATATTGATGGACACATTTTGATAAACAAATGGATGAAAAAGGCATAAAATGGGTTAAATGTAAATATTGCTTGTAAGTAATTAAAATAAATTGCATTACTTATTTTTTTTTTTAAAAAAATTACTAATTGTGTTAATTATATTAAATAAAGACATGGGAAATATAATATGAATAGTGGCTCTACTTCAAATTTAAGTCATCATCTTAAGAATCATAAAAATAAAATTGATGTTAATGTAAATAAACCATCAATGATGTTGGGCAGTAATAGTGAACATATTGTGTGTACTGTATATATTTAAATCAATTAATATATCTGCATTTGTAATTTTCTTAATCTGTGACCCGTTGACCCGACGGGACGGGTCGGGTCAACTGTTTAAAAGTCCGAGTCGGGTCGGGTTGAACCACTGACCGACCCGACCCGACTCATTCGGAGCTCTACCTTTAATGTCATATAGTTTTGATCTGGGAATTAATTCATCTTTAATGCCATATAGTTTTGATCTGGGAATTAATTCATCTTTAATGCCATATAGTTTTGATCTGGGAATTGATACTATTAGTAATAATTCATACAAGTCAGCAGAAAAAATTACTGATAGTTTTGATCTGGGAATTAATACCATTAATAATAATTCATGCAAGTCAACAGAAAAAATTACTGATAGTTTTGATCTGGGAATTAATACCATTAATAATAATTCATGCAAGTAGTAGATAACAGTATATATATACTGTTATCTACTTACGTTAGACTGTTGCCTACCTATGATTAGATTGATACCTACTTATTTTTGGGTACCCGTTTTGGTGCCTAATTGGCTTGATATTTGCTTCCTTTCGATGAGGTTTTCGGCTTTCTTTAACCCTTTGATTGCTTTCATCGCCAGAGGCTGAGGCACGAAGTGCCGATTGTGAGGGCTATGCCCGAACTGGATGCAAAGCATCCTGGTTTGCAAATCCACGATGATGTAATTATTAATAAATTAGACTATTTCGTGGTCATCTGCATCTTCGAGTTTCAAAAATTTGGAATGGGCCACATTCGAATTCCTAGACTATGACTATCCCATCTATGTGGC